TTTCCCTGTTTTGGGGATGATTCTGGTGTCCTTCCCTGCTGAAAACCTGTGTCCTCATAGGGTTTAAAGACACAACTGTAAATGAGTCTCTTGTTCCTGGCATAGTTATAAGGGTGACTTCTCCACACTCAGGAAGTCCTGCATGATTGACTGTCTCTACCCCAGAGAAACTCAGGAGTGGAACGGTAAGGAAGGGTGAAGCTACAGGTCGGGACTTGGGGCCATTAGCCAAGTCAGGTTTGAGCTCAGGACTGGGAAAAGGGTGCTGCATGTGAGGACAGAGGAATATTTGCAGAGCGGAGTTGAGAGCTTGCAGGGCACCTGGCTGCTTTCAGCTGATGCTCTCAGTCTCTTCCTGTCACAAGCATCCAGTTCACACCATAAAGGTCTCTTCCTTTCTGAAACAAGCACCCCTGTCCATTGCCCATGAGCAGCACCATTACTGTGCACTGTGTTTTCTATAGTAGGCATTTGTCATTAATGCTCCAACTTCCATGCAGCTGCTCAGAAGAAGCTAATGGCAACACAGGCCCAGATATCCTCTTCCACTGGGGCAGCAGAGTCTGTTGTTGAGAGACGGACCACAGCAACCCAAATCACCCGGGAGCTACTTCGAAGCAAAGGCATTGCAGGACTTTACAAGGGCCTTGGGGCCACGCTGCTAAGGTAAGACAGTGCTCACTGAGCACAGCAGGCATCTTTACCTGTAAACCCCATTTTAAGGAACTAAAGCAATACTGGGTGCAGTCCCTTCCAGTAGTGCTGCTGTCATACCTGGGGCTACTTACCAGGTGGTGCTGCCTTCTGAATCATTGTCAGATGCCATTGTCTGTGGGAGGAGAATCCTGATTCAGGAGTCAGAAAAAATGGGGTCAGCGAGAGGAGAATTGGGACTGTAGTGCTTTTGTATGGGATGGAGAGAGGAAGTTTAGAATGCCAGGTGGCTTCCCCTTGCACTTCCATATGGGTTCTTGTGTAGGGGTTCTTACCTTGCACCCATGACTGGCTGCTTTCCAGTAGCTCCCTGGGGAGCATGACTAACAACACCTCTTGTATGGTACATGTTCTCCCTCTGGAGAGAAGGCAGCAAAAATGTGTGGCATACAGCATCTGGGTTGGTTGGGTGTTGCATCGGATTCTTATTTTGCATGGGAGGGTACAGGGTGGGTTCTTGTCATACGCCCATTGCTTTCTCTAGCCAATGGAGCAAGGTCAAAAAAAGTTATGTTGCACTAAAGGGAGCAAGGTTGGCAATAGCCTCAGTTCATGGTTTGTTTCATCATCTCAGAGTGGCTCTTGGGAATATTCTGTCTTTCTCACAGATGAGCTGTGTCCTAATCACAGACAGTTTCCTTGTGCCAGAGGAGCACAAATATCAACCAGAGTCTTTTTGCCCCAGAGCTTGAGGCAGTCTCTAGATATCATGGCTCCGGGTCACAGAGAGCCTTTGAGATGAGGCCTAAAACCTTGAACAGGGTATATTCTGTGGGAAGCTGGTATCTGTAAGGACTCTTATCTAGGCTCTTTTGTTTTCAGGTGACTGATTCTCCAGGAAAGCACTAGTAATAACAACACCTCACAGAAGTAACGGGGAGGGGAGATGGAATGTAACCCACTTAATTAAAAATGGATAAAAATCTATAACTATGAACAACCTGGGCCAGATCCTCAGCTGGTGTCAGCCTGAAGGTCCATTGACTTCAGCTGAGCTGAGGATCTGAGCCCCTGGCTTCACCTATAGGATGTAGAAACTGTAGATGAAACATCCTTCTCAGCTTCCCCCTTGCACATCATGTTCGTAGCTGGGAAAAGGGGGATACCTGGAGCCTTGCTTGACTTACGAAGTTTGTTGCCCTTTCTCCTCTGAACTGGCAGATTGGTGCCAGGTTGTGGCTCTGCTCCTCACTCTTCTGATTCCCCACAGAGATGTCCCATTCTCCATTGTTTACTTCCCACTGTTTGCAAACCTGAACAAGCTGGGCCAGAAGAGCCCAGACGTCAAGGCTCCGTTCTACGTGTCCTTCCTCTCTGGGTGCTTAGCAGGCAGCACAGCAGCAGTGGCTGTCAACCCTTGTGATGGTGAGTCCTGGGTGATCAGTGCTGTTGGTCTTAAGGGCAGTGACAAGGAGCTGCTTTTTTTTTTTTTTTACAAACCGCAAAGCTGTCTGGGAGAACCCCCTCCCTTTATAGGGAGTTGGTAAAGTAGATTGAGGCGGCAGAAGAGGTGTGGTGTTGCCAGAGGGGGCTGGGGGTGTGACTGGGACAGATTTGATTTTTTTTTTTTTGGGATGCCTCAATGTTTAGGTGCCTATTTGTAGATTCTTTAGAAGGCTGAGTTTTCAGAAAATGCTGAATTTTTCAGAATCTGATCCTCTTAATGTGTTTGAAGTTAGGATATCTATAAATAAGAAGGCACTCAATCTGAGCCAGTTCTGAAAATTTTGGCAGGTCTGGAGTTGCCTAGCTCTTATTTACACTCATTAGTGTAGTTTAATTTCTGGTCCTTGATCCGAGTCCCTTGGTCACTCTACTAAAGCTGCTGAGCAGTGTGCAAAGTATTTGATGAGAGCTCTGGTGAAGGGAAGAGCACTGTATATAACTAGAGTTACTTAAACCACTTCTTCCCTCTCTTTCTTTTCCCTTAGTAATCAAGACAAGACTGCAGTCCTTGCAGAGAGGAGTCAATGAGGACACATACTCAGGAATCCTAGACTGTGCTAGGTAAAAGCTCTTCACAGTGCTTACCAGCTGATCAAATGGCAAGATCTAGTGGCCTGCTTTCAGGACAGGACCATGGTTTTGCAGCATGATGGGACTGCTTCTTAACTGTGTCTTATCTCAACATCTCAAAGTGTACACTCCTTAGATAAGGGTAATGGGATTAGTGTCCCATTCAACCGACATCTCCAGCCCATGTATCCTGAAAGGAAGTAGGGAATTAAAAAAAAAAAGTCCAGAACTCAATCCTGTCCATACAGAATTCTTGCCCCAGAGAGGAAGGTGTGCCAGACAATCCATGAAGGTTACCAAGGACTTTGCTCTTTGGTAGTGCGTGGAAGGTGGTACAGGGAGGAGCATCAATGTAAAACCCTCAGGGACAGAGTGTGGTGTTGTGGGGGGTTTGTGGTGGCCAGCACCTATCAGCTTCTCCGCAACCCTATCTAGCCTGATAGAATCCACAGAGGAGTCTTTGAAATCATAAGAAATGTAAAGCCGTGTGCAGTATTCCTTCCCAAAAATGATAGGTCCTGTTGTGATAGACTGGACTTTGGACCTGAGGACAGCCTTAACCCATGCCTGGCGATGAGGAGATGCTGGATCTATTATGTTCATGCAAATTGCCCTACCAGCTCAGAGCAGTGAGAGGGATCTAGAAGCAGGAGTCCGTACTGCCTTGAGGCTGTAGGACTAGCTTAATTGTTGGAGAGGAAGGTAACTGGCTCCTAAATCTCCTGCGAGGCTAAGCACTAGAAGGATGCCGAGAGCCACACCATTCGTCTGCCTGGCATGTGCATGGGGGGCCCAGGGATGTCAACTCATGCTGAGTCTCTCTTGTGTCTCTGTAGGAAAATCTGGCAGAAGGAGGGCCCCATGGCCTTCCTAAAGGGGGCGTACTGCAGAGCGCTGGTCATTGCCCCACTCTTCGGCATTGCACAAGTCGTCTACTTCATTGGGATCGCAGAATTCCTCCTGGACCTGTTCCCGAAGCGCCGAAACTAATCATTGCGCGCACCCTCCTCCAGTGAGCATTCATCCCTGTGTTCGTCGTCATATTGATGGTGTCAGAGCAACAGCACAAAGGGTTAGAGCAGAAAACACCGAAGGGTGAACATTTTCTCCACACACAAATTCCTTCTGCCTCTCAATACAGGGCATCCCCTCCACTCCTCCTAAGGACAGTACCAAGTTATATGCATATCTATTATTATTTTTATTGTCATTCTTAAAGACTGGTTAGCACAGACTGCTAATTGGGGTCTTCTCCCAGGAACAGGGGCGAAGAAACTGCCATGCCATGCCGGAATAGCCAGCAAGTCGAGGAGGAGCGCAGGAAGAACTCTCTTTGTTCCCTCAGCCTCTTTCCTGGTGTGGGAGGCCTCTAGGTGAGACCAGGCCCCCTCATGCCATGTAAAGGGAGGCCCGTTATTGTTGATGGAGGAGATGGATCAATGCTGGAATCAAAGTTTCTTGTTCTGAAACCCCTTTAAAATGAGCTGGACTTCAGTGAACTTTTTTGAGATCAGAAGAGGGGAAAGGGTTTAATTATGTTGTTCTGTTTTGGGTTTTTTTGGGTTTTTTTTAATCAAAGGGACTTTCCCTTAAATAGGGGCCATGGGGCACATTTGGGTGAGATGTATGCTACAATTACTTGTGACCTGTATGCTCTGTGAGGAGTATGTCCATGGGATCATGTTGTTGTCTTCAGGCACATCAGTGCTTAGGGACAGGTGGGAGAAGGGAGGACTTTGTGACTTGGGATCAACTTTTTATTTATTCAGGAAAGAAGAAATCAATTACATTCCTTAAGTCAGCCTGGGTCCAATGTGTCAAGCTGTTGCTATACCCAGCATACTGGCTGTCTGTATCTTTCAGCCTGCCTCTCACATGCATGTTCTACACGTGTGTGTCCACAGCCACAAAGGATTGCTTAGAAGTTGGTCTCTGGGTTAGGCCTCTTTTGTTGAAGATCATGGTAGACCAGATCCAAGGCTGGCCTTGGTTGTTGTAGCCCCTTTCAGGTCTGTTAGCTCTGAAGTCAGTGGAACTCTTGTGACATGCTGGCAGGGATCTGGCCCAGCATTCATGTCTCATCTTATCCAGACCAAAAGTGGGTTGTGGGAAAGAAAATGAGACCAGAGTCTACTTAAATCCCCACGAGGGCCTAGTCCTAATTGCTGTAAACCTTGCCTCAAGGGCCAGATCTAGTATTACTTAAATGTTTTCCCAGAGGGGTCAGAGAACATAGATCCTGAGAGGCAAGTTGACTCTAACCAAGCCCAAGGCCTGTATGCATCTGGTTGCAGAATTGAGACCTAGATCCCAGAATCTTGACCTTTTGTTCACTTTTGGGGGTAGTGAATAGACACACGCAACTAATTCTGTTAAAGGGACACTGTTCAGGTAAAATCATGTATTAGCAGACCAAAATTTTTCTTACCTATGTTCCTGTTTGGCTTATTTTGTATGGAAGGACTGAAAATCCATTGTGTTCTTCCCTGTTGTTACTATTTATTCTATTTGTTGCACTGCACTTGGCTCCAGTATTTATACTCACCTTGGCCACTGCTCTTGCTTTATAATCTGCTTCACTTTCTGCTTCTCTAAGTGCTGTTTGTTTCAGACACCATTGGGGAATATTTAAATTAAATTTAAAAGCACAGTTTCCACTTACAAATCTGTTTCTATTTCAACATGTTAGCTTCCTGACTGTGTCCCTTTACCTTAGAAAAGGTTGTTATACAAACTTCCTTGTTTATCTGTCACTCTGCTGCTGTGAATTGATTTTTGTTTTTAATAACTCTATCCTGTACATGGAAAGGAATCTGTGCATAGATGATTTTTCTCTTCATGACAGATTTCTATGATCGGTTCAGTGCTGTGACACTTGTCACTCTTGATTCCTCTAGCTGAATTAAAAAAAATGTTTAAGGTGACCCATTTCTGATTATTCTGCGATGTATAAAGGAGGCCTGAGAGTTCTAGGGTTTCTTGAAGGTGTTTTTTTTTTTTTTTTTACCTTTCTTGGCTTTATGTGCAAATTTCAGGTATGAGTTGGGCTGTGAAACTATAGGATGATAGGAAACTGCTAGATGGATAACTTCCCTTTCAACTTCCATTCTCTTGTGGAAGGCATTTATAGTTACCATGTCAAATGTTTTTTATTTCTTCTCTTAAAACAGCAAAACTTTCAGTCCTCCTTTATACTTTGTGAGGAAACAGGCAGGAACACCAGCCTTCCTTTTTGAGCAGTCCTTTTGTGGATGACCTTTTAGTATCTTTCCAAGATATGGAAAGGGGATAATGGTCAAATAGAAGGACAAAAATATGTGTGGGGCTTACAATTTGGGGTTAAAAACCATATTGTGTCAGAACAAAATGAAGGGCTTCCATAGCAAAGCTAGGGGGAAGAGGCCTGTATATTACTCCACCATGGATCTCTGCTTGGCTCCTGTTCCATTTAACATAGAGATTCGGAGCAGCAATATTGCTGATTTGGCCACGGAAAAGCCACTTGATGGCCTCTGGAAACAGTCCAGGGAAAATTATCCCTCCTAAAATTCTGACAGGAGCAAGGGCAGCTCTCTGGGGTCTGGCATTTTTTTGAAAGATTGCTGCCTGGCATTGCTGCAGCAGCTGTCTTTACCTGGTGGCCTTGAATGCTTCAAGTCCATGATGGTTAGGTTAGCATTTAACAAACCTTCCTGTCTTAAACCCTGTGCATTCCTGGCAGGGGTGCCTGCTGCCCCTCCATGGATGCTGCAGGTGTCTGTGTTGTCTTGACTAACCGTAGAGGTCTGGGTTTGGCAGCTGTGGCCTGCCAACTAAACTGGGATAAACTTCACTAGTGTAAACTGTATCTTCACTTCTGTTTGTGCCAGCGGCTCATGTCCCCATGTGGGCAAAGCCCTGAGTGTGGCACTAGAGACCAAATGGAAGTGCCTAATTCTGCACACCCCTCCCCACCCGGTGGCACAGTTCCACAAGAGCCAGTACTTGCCTTCAGTGACTGCTGTAAGTACCAGGGTAGGTGCCACAGTGCTCAACAACTGGCTCAGGTCATACGGTCACCTTGCTGAGTCCAGACCCCAAATTCTACCCCACCGGAGACCCACGCCCATGTTATTGCTTGGGCAGAAGTTTAGCTCAGTCCAGTAAGAAGCTCTGCCTGAGCAGGGTCAGATCCTAAGGCAAGGCAAGTCCTGCATCATCTCTGCAGTAGAAAATACAGTGCCACCCTCTTCTAGCCTAAGACTGGGGCAAGGAGCTTGCAACCCCTGCCTCATAGGCAGGGTTTTCAGAGCTGGCCAGAATCCAGAGACCTGGGGTTTATGCACATACGCCTTTCTCACTGGCTTTGAAATCAGTGGTGTGTGCGCTAGCCTTTTTGGTTGTGGGTCCTTTGGTGAGAAAAATGCATGGGGGGAGCGATGCCTGAGACTGGTATAAGGGAGAAGAGGCTTCTTGAACAAGGATTTTCACACTTACTTTGGAAGGATCTGTCCACTTTCCTGTTATCTGGGGACTAGTCCTCCTGCTCCTCCAGCAGGCAATGGTCTGGAATGCAGCACGTGCTGATGTTCTTCTGCATGACAGGTGGGAGTTCTCCTCTGCTGTATTTCCTGAAGATCCCAGTTGCTTTTGCTTTTCTGTTTTGGAATTGGTATTGGGGTTTGCCACACAAGCTGCTTCAGGAGCTCGTATGGAAGCACATTGATCTGATGAAGCTGGATGCTCCTGAGACTGCTCCCTGTTGCAAGAGAAATTGGTGTCTGTGACCTCAAAATGGCTTCTCTGTCCCAACACCTCAAAGATTCCAAATGTGTGAAACCTTTTCTATTGTTTGTGTAGGGTACTCGTCCTTCCCCCTTGCATATGTGTTTCCTTTTGTAGGACGTATCTTTGGTACAAGGCTCTTGCAGGTTGGTTTCAGTGGCATGGGCAATCACTTGTGGCTTATGCATTTGGGGGGGCTTCCCCTTACTTTAATGCAAAGAATGTTATGAAAAACTTTTTTTTGAATTGGCTTCCAGTTTCGGCTGCTCTGTCTATGGGCTCACAACCTGATGCTGTCTTGGGTCACGGTTTTTCAGAAGAGCTGAGCCCCGTCTTCTAATTGACCTTGATGGGAGTTGGTGGTACTTGGTGCTTCTGAAAAATCTGGCTCTAGACTTCTTGAAATGGGTGTCCAAAATGTTTTTAGAACTAGAAATCTTGAGCATATCTCTTGAAGAGGCCTCCAAGTAGTTAAGGGTTGGGTTGGAAGAATGCAAACTAAAAAAACTTGGGACTGCCTAAATGCAGACCCCTTTCCACCCCGCCACATACACGCACACGTGCACGGAAGTATGTACCCACTCTCCCAGAGTGAGCTGTAATGAGTATCTTGCAGGTGAAGTTGACAGGTGAAGCTTATGGTAGGTCATATTATCCTTCCCACTCACTGTTGTAGTCACCAAGGAAATGGTCTATAGGATAGAGGAAGATAAACATTTGTAGTATCTGTGCTATTCCTGTAGGGTGCTAGCAATCCTATTGAATTGCCTCTGGAATTTCTTTCTTGTTGGTGATAGTGTTTTGACATGGCTTTCTCCTCCCTTTCAACTGCTTTTTGGTAACCTGTGACATCAGAGTCCACAATCTAGGATATCCATGATTTCGCTGAACAGCAGCTCTTGGATGTACTAGTCACTGGTCAATTAATGGAGACTGCATTTCTGTGCACTGCAGGGACCCCTGGTCATCCCATGTCCACTTGAAACATCACTATGGAGCCCAACTGGTTTGGTCTATTAGGAGCTCTTTCTAAGAAAAACATACCAAGGGCAAAAATGAAGAAACTGGCTTGTTCAGTCTCTAGGAGCTGAGATCTTTGGTCCTAGCTGCTTCATTTCATCTTCTGTAACGCCATGCTGCCTTTGCCCTCCAGTTCTGCTTGTAGTCCCCAAAGGCTGTCTGCACTGGAGAAGTCGTCTAAAAGTGGTTTAAATGCCATTCAGCTAAACCAGTCCTAAAACTGGTCCAGAACTGTATCTTGGCCCTAGATGGAAGTGATTTAAGCCAGCCTGGCATATTTTGTAACTGAATCTCTTCTGGGACTGGGAGTTCTAGGTTAGGTTTTCAAACCCATGTTTAGTTGACCCAGTTGTGATGTGTCTGTCTTAACCAATCCTTACTGCCAAGGCTGTGTCACATCCTGGTGGTGCAGTGAAGTGCAGAGACCCACGTGCAAGGGAGCCCTAATGAGAACCAAGTGGATAGCACAACATGGCATTGGCTGAATGCTTCAGTTGCCAGCAAATATGGCTGCTGCAACAGTGTCATCTCAGCCTTCAACAGGTGGCTCTTACCCCACATCTGCATCTGCTGGATAAGGTTAGTATTTGGAAGAGAAGGAATGTTGTGTAGTAGTTTGTTACAAGCACTGAGGCATGAATTCTAGGAGAGATCCCTGGTTCTGCTCCTGACTCTCTCCCTGTAAGACCAAGGGAAAACTGCTACCTACCTACCTCACTCACAGAGATGTGGAGGCTTAATCTATTTGCAGCCACACCTTTGAGATGCTGTGGCAATGCAGTCTGTGGTTGTTTTTAATAGTCATGGTTGCCTGTCCTTTGAAGTATGAACTGGACTCCACATTTAAGCTGAACTAAGTGAAGTGATTTGCTGGGTTTTTGTAGACCTGGTTAAGGGAGGATGTGGTAGCCAGAAAAGTTCTAGTCTTTGGATTAGATCTTCAGCTCTTGTAAATCAAAAGACAGGAATATAAATAGTCTATCAAGAATGGTATGTAGCCAAGGCTCCTCGATCTAGTGACTCCTCCGGAGCTTCTCAAAGCCACTGTAATAACTGGACTGTTAGGGCACCAACACACATGCAGCAAGGCTGCTCCAACATGCTGTACTTATAGTGTGTTGGAGCAGACTTGATTAATCGAGTCTGCTGGAGCATGGTAATTGCCATGCTCCAGCAGACTCCAGTATCTCATGTATTAGCATCCTTGTGCTGCAAAATGTTGGCAGGGGCATTTTAAGTAAAGCTTATTTGACAGGCTTTAATTAAAGCATCCCCAATGCCATTTTTCATCATGGGGATGCTTATACACGAGACGCTCTGGGTGTTTTCGAAGCCGCTCTAATTAAAGCAC